ACAACCTTCTGGTGTGTCAGCCACTCCTATGCAAAGTACACACACTCCCTCCCCCATTGCTTCCCCATAACCAGAAGTCCTGTTGGAGGAACCAACCGTCCCCTGAAGCCCCTGAATTTCTCCCAGCAGCATCCACATTTCCCAGATCTCTGCTTTGCTGAGCCATTGCTGACTGGCCCAGCCTTGCCTCAATCTACGGGGATGGTCAGCACTTCTGGCCCAATTCAGACCCCTTCATTTCTACTTTGGCCTTTCCTTTTGATGTCCTTTTGTTTGGATACGTCACACTGTATTTTTGTACCATCCTCTTACCAACCTCAGTCTATGTTTCTCACTGAGTGAGCCCCTATTCCTCGCATTACTGAATATTATTTCCCCCTATCTCCAGAACCTCTGTCCAATCGTTAGCCTCTTCTAATAGACCATGGAACAACTGCAAGTCCTAATATTCCTAATATTCTTAACTTTTGACTATAAAGTAGAATTATGTCAACTAGTTCTAAAAGCGGGTGAGATGAATCTCATCTAGCTGTCTAGATCAAGGGTCTGGATAAAAAGGTAGTATAGTGATTGCACTGTGTGCATTCTCCTGAAATGAGAGCAAATATTTCCTCAGAGGAACCAGCACTGCTAACCGTGTCCTTAAAATGCTTTAGATATCATTATTTAACAGATAGTGAATTAAAAGTTGTGCCCTGCAGAATGTCATGGAAGGGAGAAAGCTGGATGTGTCAGATAAGGACACAGCTGAGAAGAGACAAAACGAACCCTAACTGTTCCTGTGTCCGGATATGGTGACATCAGGACAACTTTATGCTTATGGAGCAGTTCAAACCTTTCATATTGACCCCGGAAAATCTGGCTCTTGCCCATTGGAATCTGGCCTGAAGGCACTAGTTAATTTCACAACTATCTGACTATTCTGTTTGTATTTATAGATCTTACATTTTGTTCCAATTTACTCTTTGGTTCCTTTTTCAGTGTCCTGGTGTAAATGACAAAATTAAACACTTCCAGTTCATAAACTTCTCTTTAGATTCCTGCTCTAGCCAAGGAACTGCAGCTAATGTTTTCTGTTCCAAGTTACTGGTACAGATATTAGCAAACAGTTTCTCTGTAAACTGGTATTCTTTTAGAGGAGGAGGATGTTCTATTCTTCTTTGTACATTTGTCTTTCATGGGTGTGCCACTGTCTGACATTACAGAAAGTTACAATGGTGAATTCTTCCACAGCTTTTCCTTCCCTAAAGGCAGTTGCTACTTCTTATATTGTAAAAAGTCCAAGTTGAGAATCAATTACTTTTTCAGCCATGTTGTATTTTCAATTTAGGGATATAGCACAGTGAAACAGTGAGAAAAAGCAGGATATTCTCTCTAAAATACCACCCTAATATAGAGCAAGAAAGGGCAAGCAACTGAGAAATGTCTTGTCCGCGTGGAGCAGTATTTTTAAATCCTATTATGTTGCACCTAAGCCCAAATCCAGAATCTATGTGGAAACTGGACAAATTGACAAATTGTTGTCTCCCAAACCTCTCCTTTCTGCAGCCTAATCCCAAAGCTGCCTAGGCCCAGTGAAAAGCCTGCTTTTGGCACTAAATTTCCCCCATACCCATTTCTGGGTATGCGTCCAAGCGCCTTGATATTACCAATATGGGCAGCCCAGCATCTCTTTCGTACCTCCATATAAGCAGTGTCTTTAAATAGGTCCTCTTGCTATCTGTCTCATCCAAGGATCATTCTTGGAGCAGGCCCATTAGCTAGGATTTGGTATGAAATACAGCAGCAGCCAAAGCTTTCCTGCAGAAGTCTAGCTGCAGGAGAGAAATTTGGATTCAAAAGCAAAAACTTTGTGAATAAAAAGCTTCATACCAGGATGCACAAACCAAAGTTTCTTGTGAATTCACTTTTCATTGACAGGGGATTAAGCTGAGGGGAAATGCAGATCATAACCAGTATTTCTTAGAATTTTTTTTCACTAAGCTGTTACTACTAGTAGAATCAAGCTGTTATGATAAATAGCAGATAACTGTACACACAACACATTAACTTCTTCACTCACAGGGTTTACTCACAGTCTCAGTTGCAGGGAGCCATACTGGCACTCCAGGGCATTCTCACGAGATGCCTGGAAGGTCCCTCATTAGGGTCGTACTCTTCACTATCTGATAGCAGCCACTGCTGTCTTGGATGTGCTGTGCTGATGCTCATGCACTCTAGCAGCCTTGTACAGTCCCAGCAATCACTTGTTTGAGTTCTCACAGATGCAGCAGGACTGATAGCCTATGAAGATTATTAGTCCATGGAAACTTTCACAAACTAACTTCTCATTAGGCACCTTTCCTGTCTTTGGCCTATTGTTTTCTGGTAACCACTTCTCCCTCCAAACCAACAGATCCTATAGAACCAACTCAGAAGAACTCAGGCAGAAGGGTCCTTTGTGGCAAGTGTTACAATGATGGAGTGATCTTTTTGATCTGCTCAGTGTCATTAGAATCTCACCTGCAATACCTTATCCACTAACGCATTGTACTGTCAGAAGGACCTACATACCACAGAGCAGCATCTAGAGGGGAATAGCAAAAAGGATTCAAAATCTAGAAGACGTAGCCAGTGTTACTACCAGAACATATGGGGAGAAGACGTGACAAGAGCTACCAAATATGTAAGAATCTGTCTCAGAAGCTGTTAGAGCAGTACAGCACATGAATAGTCTTAATTACAACACTTTCATTAAACATTTATTAGGGTAAACTTTCAAATATCAAGGATAAAGAAGCAACGAGACACACTTTCATAGGACAGTAAAGACAAATCTCTACTGGCATTTGAGAACACGCTAGATTAGGAAAAGCAGATGCTTAATTGTGTACAGAAATTTAAAGAATCCCATCCCTCCTTTCTGCTTTACTTTTATGATGAATTGTTCTGCTTGAGAAAAAACACAAACTTTTACCTAGAACCAGCCTTTTCATGCCCATTTAGTGAACCAAAGTAAAATTAAAACTTTTTTAAATGTATTTCATTCACATGCAAAATATTTTAATTTAAACAATTACAATCTGTCAAAAGATTAACATACCAAAAAATAGCAAATTAAATAAGGACCTTCTCTAGACTAAAAGCTTTGAGTCATTTGGTTTTTTACATTTGGCATAAAATACACTGGAACGGTAAAAACAACCAACTATATGTGAACCTACTGTATATTTTTAGGGTTTCTGAACCCAGAGAGTATATCAGTAGAGTAGTGTGACATGCAATGATATCACCTTGATCTTGATGGAAGTCTTAAGCTTTGAAAAAATGACCTAAAAAACTATGAAATCTTCACTGATACTGGAGATTTCAATAGTAAATGTTTTGTAATTTTTTTCTGGTGTGAATTAAGTATAATTCATTCTGCCTATTCACCCCTTTTGCGAACTCTTTGAGATCCCCATTCTATTATTTAAATGATAAATTATTTCTATTCACAACACATTCAAACCTCTTATTGCAGGTAATATTTCAATGCTTATGTTACAGAATTATATCAGAAGAAAACAATTTACACTTTCCTTTATATCGTTCATATACAGAGGAGGAAAATATGTTAATTCAGATATTAGGGGGAACACGAAGAATTTCTGTGTGTACCTCAGTAGCAAAAGGAAGATGTGCACTGCCAGCACCAGAGCAGGCTGCCTGGCCGAGGCAGGGAGCTGGTCCTGCTTCGAGCAAGGACCCGCACCAGGTGAGGTTGGACGTCCTGTCCGACCTGCACAATTCTGCCAGTCTGCGCTGGGGATTAGGGGTGGCATCTTCAGGATACCCACAGATCTGGATATACTTTTTGGAGCACGCTAAGGAGCTTATTCTCACAGTTGCCTGTGGTGAGTATGGTTCTTCTTGTGCCTAAAGGAGATGCTAGACCAATGCAGAGACTGGAACTGCCCGAGTGCTCACTTCCACAGTGTAGCTGCAGGTCTATGTGCATGCTCAACAGTCCTCCCAGGTGCTACTGTTTGTGAGCAGGTCTCTGGGTCTGTCTTGCAAGATTGCCTGTTCCTGCTAGTACAGAAAGCAAGAAGCACCCTGTGCAAAACAAGCTAGAATTTCCATAGGAGAAAATTGGTTTGCCTTAAGTCTTGTATTCCAGCACTTCCCTTTCAAAACCAGGCCCAAGATTACCCTGTGTATTAAACTGTTGCCTGCTCATTTTGTTCAATATTCGTCACAAGACAATTTGATTCATGAGTTCCAGGGTCAGCATCAGCACGGTATATGGCGTTGTCAAAACTGGCTGTAATTAATTGCTGATCACGTCTTTTTTTATAGAAAAAATAGATTGTAAGGCCAGTTCCTGTTAGCAGAAGGAAGATCAGTATAACAATCATCCCACCTAAACTGTTTGTGGATGAAGAAGCAGCTTCATTTTTTGATGCTGTGAAAGACAAAACAAGACAATTACTACAAATTGCCAGAGACTGCTATTGCATACAATCATCTCCCTAACTAAACCAACTGGGTGAACTGTAAAACTACTGAACAACCATAACAGCAGTTAAAATTGATGCCTATTCTGGATAGACAATGCAAAGTTGGGCTCAATCTCTTCTATATTCCTTTCAAAAGGAGCATTATATTATACCACGCTGCACAGAGAAGAAAAAAAAAAAACCAAAACACATGCAGTTTGAGAGGAGAGCTCTCTTTTTAAACAGATTTAAAATAAAAATCGTCACTGACTGTTAAACGGATATTTAAATGAAACTATTCTGGAGGTAAATTTACTTGTAAATAATAAATGCCTATATATTTTATGTGCGTGTAGGAAACCAACCTACCTTTATTGACAGGTGAGTCATGGGTTGGCTCAATTTCAATAACTGTAAAATTTTTAAAAAAATATATATTATACACATCCTGCAAGCAACCATTCAAAAATTAAATAAATACTGCATACATAGCTTTTACTTTGCTTTCCTATCAAATTTTAAATAATCATAGAATGGTTTGCATTGGAAGGGACCTTAAAGATCATCCAGTTCCAACCCCCTGCCATGGACAGGGACACCTCCCACTAGACCAGGTTGCTCAAAGCCTCATCCAGCCTGGCCTTGAACACCTCCAGGGTTGGGGCATCCGCAGCTTCTCTGGGCAACCTGTTCCAGTGTCTCACCACTCTCACAGGAAAAAATTTCTTCCTAATGTCTAGCCTAAATCTACCCCCTTTCAGCTTAAAACCGTTACCCCTCATCCTATCACTACACTCCCTGATAAAGAGTGCCTCCCCATCTCTCCTGTAGGCCCCCTTTAAGTACTGGAAGGCTGCTATAAGGTCTCCCTGGAGCCTTCTCTTCTCCAGGCTGAACAACCCCAACTCTCTCAGCCTGTCCTCATAGGGGAGGTGCTCCTGCCTTCTGACCATCTTTGTGGTCCTCCTCTGAACTTGATCCAACAGGTCCATGTCCTTCTTATGTTGCGGGCCCCCAAGCTGAACATAGTCCGTGGAGATGAAAGGTGTATGAAATAATTTTCCCTGACAATTCAAGCTGAATCCATCAAATATTTTTGTTAAAAATATTTGTAAAATAACCTCCCAAATAATTGTCTCACTATTAATTGCTTTGAACTGCCTTTTTTGGTAGGGGAGACAGATATTCAAAGTTTTTACACTTCCGTAGCATAAAGCTTCACACTTCACACTGAAGTCAATTTTTTACACTTGCCAAAGTGAAAAGCACATTTGTACTTAAAAGCATTTAAGCTGGTTTTTTAGGCAACTTTCTTTTCCTCCGTCCATTGCCTGGGGAGTCTGATTCATTTAATTGCTTGCAGGACTGGCTGGGTCCTACGAAGCTGATGGATGACTCCATTGCCAACCTGCCAACATGTGGAGATCTACAGGCAGGAGACTCAGTTAGTTCCACATTGCATCTATGTTTGTGCAGTGGATCTGTTTGCCAATGGCAAATCTGGCCTGTTTGAAACTGTCTCCCAGTTGATGTGTGCAAAAACAGCTGAATTCATGTGTGCATGGTGACTCACGCTAGCTGCATGTGTGCAGATTTACATGCTTGACGCAACACTGCTGTGCACAGAAGAGGGACCCAACCCAGCTTGTGACACATTCAGATTTCATATGGGTTGGTATACAAAAAACCACAGGGCCACGAGTAATCATTAAAAATGAAATGTACTATGCTGTTTGGTTGTCTTGGCATGTCTCGCTATGCCTGTCTCAAAAAAAACGCACTACCCACCATCACTTGACGCTTTCTCTTTGGCCGTCCGGCAGATCCCAGCACACTTCACTGGTTCTGAGCCCACCGGCAGCACCTACCTTCCTTCTGCAGGAGCTCAGTGACTTTGCCCTGCTGCCCCTCTGCTTAGCTATCAGGAGAGTGCCTGCCTTTCTACTCGGCGCTAGTTTAGTCATCTATTCATCATCTACTGCCCCCTGCACTCTAACCATAATGACTATTAACTTTCTCTATACTTTTACCAGGTGATATGTTCTCTCCTACCCCAGGGTAGAACAAATGACAAGAAATCAATGCTTTTAAACTGAGAGGAGGAAACAGTGACTCAGGTTCTTTTCCAACATTATTTCTCATTGTCCTTACCAGAAGTTACTCTTGGCTTTGATGCAGATCCACATGCATCAGCATCAATGCATAAAGCATACCCAGTGCCTAAGCAGTTTGGCTTGATGTATGTTAACCACTGTTTCTAAAATAACCCAGTGCACAGAAATTCAGAGCTTACTTTTTGGGATTTTACAGATAAAATTCTGGTCAACAGAGCAGTAATAGTTCCTCCAGGTCCCACTTGAGACATCCATGTCAACACAGTGTTCGTCAAATAGTACTGTGGGCTCTCCTTTCTCCCAGTTGACAAACTCTACTGCACTTCTGTCTGTCCATATCCATTCCCCTAAAATTAAAATTATTAACTAGTGAGTGAATGAAGCAGGGAATAATTTCTAGTCTACAACACTGCATATGGAATTCATTAGTTGATTAAATTGGCATCACAGAGAACTAATTTCTCACTCTTAACAGCCAGAAATACTCAGATGGGAGTGTACCAAACACAAATGCTCATAGACAAAGTTAACTCCATTAGTCTTCAGGGTCATGGCTGTCAGTGATGTAAGGAAGACATACCCAGGCTGCCCAAGGACTTTTAAATGAAGCCTGTGCTCAGGACTCACCTGTGCCTGGGAGCCTTAAGAAAAGCAGAGCACCTGTGTGAGCCACACTCTGCAGTTCAAGGCTCCAGGTCACTTAGAAATTTTTTTTTTTATGTGTGTGCCCAACATCAGTGAATGACTGCTTTATTAGAGCTGGATTAATCAATTATTTTTGCAGACCAAATCAACGGTCTTTAATAATAACTCCCCGTTCATCTCCTGCTGAGACCCAGCAAGTAGGAATAATTGCCATCTCTGCTCCCTCAAGGTGTGTTTTCATGGCAGAGCATCCTGATATAACTTGCAATGCCTTAATACCACATCCTCCGTCCCCCCATCTGCAGCTGCACTTTCCTCTTGCCTCTGCTTGCATGGGATGTAGCAATGCGGCAGTGTGGTGTGCCAGGTTAGGAACAAATCACTGCCTTTTTACTGTTTTCAGCTAGAACAGATGAACCTGGCACATTGTGCAACAAGGTGCCTGCCTTTGCTGGCGGTGAGAGACAGGGGCTTGGGCAGCCATGGCCAAGGCCGCTCATACAGCCCAGTCTAGACTGGCTTTGCAGTTGTACCCTCAAAGTCTGCTATGAAAAATAGGCTTCAGAATTACAATGATATAGAAAACAGGATCAAATTTGCAGTTAAAAAGAAAAAAAAAAGCTGAAATATTTTTGGGTGAAAATAAAAAGTTCCACTAAAAATTTATGAAACCCTGAAATTTAGATTAAGAAATGTTGCTAGGCAGTTCATATGAGCTTCTGTCACCTATGCTGTTTAGAAATAAATTTCAGTTTAAGGCTGCCTCAGCTTTTAGTCGCAAGACAATATTTATCTTAAACTAACACTGGTTAAATGTCAAGCAATTCAAGTAAAAAAAAAAAAGTGGCAGGAAATGTTTTAATCAACTACTGCAATGTTAAGCTAGAACCTTCTACAGATTGAAATAGACTCTAATTGCAGTAAAGATACAAAAAGCATAGACCTCTTGGTGGTTTATGTTTTAAGTATTTTAGCAGAAAAGCTATTAAAAATTTAACAGCTGATTTCTCTTTGATTATTTATTTAATATCTAGTATATTAGTATTAGTGTTTAGTATGGTAGTGTTATTTATTGTGCTCTTTGTTTATTTAGTATTTATTCTCGTATCAGTATGCATTGTGAAATAATTACCATCAATATTTCTGAACAATCCTATCCAAAACTTTCTGAAGTCACTTGTAAGTGGAGACAAATAAAGTAAGAGAAAGTTCATTTCAGCTGAATCTTCTATGGAAACCAGAGAAGCACCTAAAAATATCAATTAAATACATGTAATTTTAGTAAGGTTTTCCATTCAAAATTTCAGTGAACAATTATGACATTTTGCGATCAGCTTTTTCTTAGAATAGAAAAGTTTGATAATAAATTTAAATTAGCTGTAGCTTATTATTGATATACATACACACAGATCTATGTATTATCTCTTGGTTCTGGATTAAAAAAAACAAACACACAAACAATCTGTAAAATATCCTAATAAAAAAAAGGCACTTACCCATTTGAATACATGCCATGGAAGCATCAGGCCAGCTTTCCTCAGAAGTGGTATGAACATAGTAGCAATGACCACGGAAGGGAATCCAAGATCTACCACGCTTTGGTTCAGGACACCTTCCAGGAAGCTGTGGTGGTTCACTCGGGATTAACTCTATTAAGGAGACACACAGGTTTCAGTGGGGTCTTAAAAGCCAAAAGAAACATACTCCTGCACCACACATCAGCCCTAATGGTTTGACAGTGATTCCAGTAAAAGGAATATCCCACAGACTTAAGTAATGATAAAAGGTTGAACTAATGATGGCAAACTAGTAATAAACGGTACTGGCTGGAGCTGGGTCTCCAATCTGCAAAAGAAGGCTTCACCAGTCTTGCTGCAATTGTCTTCAGCAAGGTAATTTATACTTAAAACTTGTGAAACAGAATGAGGAATGAATCAGTATGCATAAAGGATCTTGACACCACCACCAACCAGTGGCTTGTGTCCAGCCAGTTTGTAGCAAGGTCAGTCGAGAAGCTGTCTGTACCTGGCCTTGTATATACATCCTAAACTATGTAAAAGTAGAATCAGTAACCTATTGCATCACCTGATTAAAGCCAAAGCAGAGCTTAAATTAATATGAAATTTGCTGTGAAGTATGGTGGAGAGATCATAAATTTCATATATAATGTAAAATATGTTTGAAAATCAGGTGCAACATTTGAGCTCTGAAGTATTTCAGTAGAAGCTTGCCCAGATCTTATAATTTTAATATAAATTAATCAATTCAGCTGCTACTCTGACAGAAGTTCCTTATCTCCCGATATTACAAAAGATACATTTAAATGTAAAAATATATCATTAATATATTTATAGTTAGGCTAAAGTTGATCAGCTCTGCAGTTCCTTACAAGGATGCAGAAAAGATCTATTGCTTGTGGCACAAAATGTTGCAGTTGTCTTTAAGATGTGGATGTGTTGATTGGCCTGTGAAATGAAATGTCTGAAAATCACCCAAGACAGACTGGATCTGGGAGTTCTTCCTTAACAAAGGCAATACTTTATCACAAGGTGTATACCATCTATCACAGTCTTTGCATATGTGGAAAGCATAAATTCAGATAAAGCCATGAATTTAAATTACAGCCTCCCTAATCACATTTCTCCCATTCACAGCTTACCATCTGATTGTTTACAGATTGATAAAAATGTTTCATTGCAAGGTGCTGTCTTCCAAAAACCATCCAAATCTAAATAGACACAGGCTGTGTTCTTATTCGGTTCTCCACTGGCCCAGTTAAGATACCTGCTCCTCCTTCTATCTGACCACATGTAATGGCCACGAGTCTAAAAGCAAATGACAAAAAACATGTCACGTACAACAAATTGAAAGAATATTGAGATTGCACTTGCAGGGATGTAAAAGTTAGGAAACATCATAATCACAGTTTCTCACATAAAATTAGTTCAGCTTCTATCATTAATACATAATAGTCTGTCCCAGTCTTCCACTCAACATAGCAGTAAGGGCAGTGGTCCTGAAGATTTTCATTTAGTATGCAACCTAGGTTATTCCTTTCACACCATCCGTCTTGTGAGCAGATGGGCAAAGGGCCTTGCATTAACAAATCTGAATATATAGCTGAAGATTGTGTCAAAGGAGTCCACGTATATGCACAGATCAAACAGAGATTGCAGAGAAACTGTTCTCAGCGTTTCTCTAACACAGGTGTCTCTGTATATTTAGAAAGCAAACAGAAAATGCAGAAGTTCCACTGGAGAGAGGAATGCAATAGTGATGACATTTTCCGTGGGGCACACACCACAGACCTCTGCCGCCCGTGCTGATGGGGCTTGTGGTACATTTCTAGCTCTTGCAAGGACCAGCTACTAGACACAAGTGGAGCATGTAGTTTTTCAGCAGATTTCACCACTGTTTGCAGCGGATGACCAACCTTAGTCACAGTCATTGCTGCTGTCATCCCACCCTGCGCAGCCTCGCCCCTTCTTCCTGTGATCTTTGGAGGCAGGCTCCCATCCAGCGATTGGTACCAGTTCCTTTCCTGTCCTTTTCCCTTTGAAGTCCTTGGCCATGCTTCATCCCAGATTCCTGTCTGATCCCGGTTTCCCAGTGCCTGCTCTCACTGAAGTGCGGCTCCAGTTCCCCTCAGCTCAGCCCCTGTGCCCTCCCTCAGTCCCGTGTCCTGCCAAGCTTCAGTTCTACCTCTCTTCTCTGGATTTCCTCACAACTCCGGTTCCACAAATAGCCAGATGCATCATCTTTTTCATGTTCTTTTCACATGCCTCTAGGAGATGCTTCTGCCCCATCAGACCTTTCCACTGCTGACTGAGTCTGTTGGCAGTTTTTCACCAGGCCACTGGCTTCAGCTCCAAAAAGCAGCCTCAGGTGTGGTGTCCCCGCTGCCAGAGGGCTGCTCCTGCCTCTGTGTTGCACCTTCGCATTTCCCCTGTCGCCCAGCACAAGCTCTGGTAGTGCTAGGCTGTAAATCAAAACAAGGCTTAAAATAACCTCATGAAGAAAGAACTGTTTGTAACCCAGGTTGTTCTGTGGTGTGCCCCACAATGTGTTTTCAGAAGCAGTGGCATGTGGTAGACCACGGCGTAGGAAGTGGAAGCTCCATAGACACTTTACCGCTGATGCCACTGAGTACTGCAGCTGCATCCTCGGCAGTGTTTGAAACGGGCTGTGCCAGTTCTCACTTGCATTATGGCCAAACATTTAGATGTGTAAAACCCCTGAAGTGGAAGGAAGTCAGGTACCTCAGCAAGGTTTTGAAGCCTGCCACACATTCACAGATCTAACCAACAGTGCTCACACGGGAGCAAGCAGTGCCCACAGCAGTGGATCCTCTCCACCCCTGAGCAAGAAACATGTCTGATCTCTGCTGATCCAGGGTAGCAGTATGATTGTCGCAAGCATTTGATGGACTCACCGTGTTGCTGTTAAGACCAATCCATACAGGCTCCCCGTGCTTTAATATTTGTAACCACACGTAAGATTCAGCGTAAGGATCCAAAAGGCTGGCAAGTTCTGCAGATTGGTCTCTGCAGTTCTTCTGTGCTTCTTCCCAACTCATTTTGTCATTGATGACTGCATAGCGGTCGTCACCATAATTGTTAAAGCCAAACATCGGAACTATGGGTTGGGAGTTTTGCAGTTTGGGGTCTGTAACAAGCAAACAAACAAAAAGAAAAGTCAAACGCTTTCTATGGGCTAGACATATAACACTGAGAGAAGATCTAGTGTACTAGAGGAGTCAAGTAATTAAGAGAGGCTGCAATAATAAATTGAGATGTGTCCCAGCTATCACTGCAGTGATGAAAGCCATGTTTTTGTGTTCTGTGACAAAATTTTCTAATTCTTGTCAGAATGACCTTTTAGCATAAATAATGGTATCACCTCCAGAGATATTGCAAGTGTCCTGAAAGCTCTAGAACTTCCCAAAGCATACTGTAACTGCGTAGGGCATTAAAGGGAAAAAATCCCCCACTTTTACCATTATATATTAATATTTGCCTTATTTCTGACAGGGAACAGAGTATGGTAAACACATCATGAGCAAGCAAAGGGATATAACTGCAGATGATGAAATTGCCTGAGTAAGACTGTAAAGGAAATCAAGCAGGGCAGTTTTTCAAAATAAAGAAGTTGTGGTGCTTTTAAGTATAGCAGGAGAATTTCCATTTTGAAGAATTTACTCATATAAAGAGAAGGTACTGTTCTCTCTCTCTCTCACCTGATCACCAAAAATAGTAAAATACATGATGGTCCATAGATTTTTTATTATTATTTTTTTACTGGTCTAGTCTTTAAAATAGGAAAGGTTAAGAGTTTTTCTCCAAAAAATAAAATGTGTGTTTGTTTTGTTAAAATGGTCTGTAGTGCATGTGATACTGTCAGATTAATTTCAGTTAAAAATAGAGTTGAATACAGGGAAGACACTTTTAACAGCAGTTTGACATAACCACAATAAACGAGCTGTACTAGAAAGTGGTGAAAGAAAACTCACCAGAATTTTTCTGACATATGTAGCTTTTGCTTGTTTTACATTCTTCATCTTTCCATTTCCCTGCCTGTTCAACAGGGTTCTTTATCATAAAGACACAGTCATCCTACAGGAGAAATGAGATTAACAAGAAAAACATGTGGATACTTAGGAAACATTCCTACTACTGGATATACAGACTCACCTATCACACACAGGCGCATGCAGATGAATAATATGAAGGTCATATATATGAAGCCACACAACCAATGGTCAGGAGCAGTAGTGTGACAATAAGCATTTACAGATCAGCGCTGGGAAAGGTTGCACTTGGATGATGGAGGGAGTTGCAAAGCACAGCACAGAGGCAGGAAGAAGTGTCTGGGATGATCTGTATGTGTATAATCTCTGTGCATGCACATGTACATGTGTGTGTACGTACAGGTAGACACACGTGTGCTAAGTCTGGCCCACAGGACATTTCAGCCCTTTTGGTATTTTTCTGGAGCTTATGGGGAAACTCTTCTCAGCACTGAAGCTTGCCTGGAGAGCTGAAATTCCTCATCCTGCCCCAATTCAGCACTTCCTGCACCAATTCAGCACTAGGAACCAAAGTTGTCACCACAGTCCAGTGATGTAGAGGTAGCAGAAACAACCTCCCAAACCATTTCAATTTAAATCTGGGCTCTTTGGCTTCTTCCTTTTCCTCTCACAGCATGACCAGCTGCTGCTTGGCTTTCTGCAGCAGGAGGCAGCAGCTCTCCCCACCTCACATCAGCAGAGCCTCATGCTACCTCCTAACCCCCTCAGGGGCATCAGCCCAGGTCTTGGCTCCAAGTGACAGAAATTGTATGTGGAACAGCTTGTATTTCCATGGGGATAGTCATCTACAGAAAGTGTACACGTGTGTGGGATGGGGAAGTCCTGGAGATCCCAAAATCCATCTCTAGCCTGGATGGAGCAGGGGTTGGACCTTGCAGAACTTTTTCCCATTTTAGCTGAACTCAAAGCATTTTATTTTATGAAAAAGAGAGAAACTTGGTAAAGCTAGCACAGGAGTACAGAAACAGTACTATCGAGCAGTATTCTACATTAGTCATTTTACAATTATTGGACACTCAGATTTGCCTTGCAATTAAGCACAAAACAGTGTAGCAGTGCTGACAGTTTCAAAGCATGCAGAAGAGATCTTTCAGAAGGAAGATTAGAGGGAGAAGATAAAAATAAGAAAGGAAGACCCAGTCTCCTTCTTTGGAGGATTTCATTCAATGCATTTATCTTAATAAGCTCAGCACCAAGAAATGTAAACATACCTAGTTATCCAAGTATTTTCATCACATCTGAATAACATTCACTGTATCAGAAAATTATACAGTTACTGCTGTGCTATGGTTTATTTTAATCTCCTGATCAGTCATGGGAAAGTGAGGGAAATTGCTCACTAGTCTGAGCTTTGCATAATGTCCAAACCCCTGTCTTGATTCATACAGAATCATGACATACCATCATGTTTGATGGTAGATCTCCCACATGATTGCTCTGCTTTTAAAATCAACAAGATTACTAAAAATTGTCATAAAGGAAACTTTACAGAAAATACAGGTGTAATTACATGCATTTTATTTATCTACCAAAGTTATCCTGTTTAAGTGAAAAACAGAAATTAATGTTTACCTTACTGTAATAACTGCGGGAACCTTTTGCCCAATTTGTGTAGTAAACTGCGCTTCCATCTGTCCATAAATATGTGTGCTCCTGATTTATGTCATTCAGTCCAATCCAAGCATCAGTTGCAGCATTTTTTAAGAGGGACATTAGGAAAGCTGAAAGGAAAAACAAAAATTGTACAAGGAGGGAAACTGAATGCTCATTTCCCCAACAGTGCAGACTCTAGAGTGCCTGGAACTGGGATGGTGAGTTTTAGTTTTCTCTTTTTTAATAAAGTGGTAATCTTAAGATAAAAATAAAAAAGAATGGATAGTTGTCTGATGTTAAAGTCAGAAAAAGTATTTACAAACTCAAAGACAGGCAAATGTTTATACATTAAATTGTCTTCCACCATTTTAAGGAATTTACTGTGTACCTTCTTCTGTGTTGCTGAACGTCTGAGGAAGCAAGGAAAATGTTTTAATGGCAAACCAGAATTTAACATGAGTACTCTACACCTTGGCACATAGAAAATTGGTCTACTGACTGTGCACTCCCTTTTCTTCTTTGCTAACTTGTTTGTTAAACAGACTTAATTACTTAGTTTCTAAACAGGTATAACACAAAAAAGCCTACTTAATAACAAGAATGCATGTGCTGAGACATCAGCTTGTTGTAAGGCCAGATGCTGCTTCCCTTAGTTTCTGCCTAGACTGACTTTCCACTAAAAGACTGTCCTTCCTCTGCTAGAGAACAAAGCATTAACCACAAGCACTGGCGGAGTGAGTTAGGTGATGGCCCATGTGCAGCCCTCAGGAGATCTGGGGCATTACATTTCCTGAGCAAGCATGAAGTCTCAATTAAAAAAAAAGGTGTAACATGCTGAGCAGCAAGACCAGCAGGCTGAAGTCCAGCAGAGCAAGGGGATCAGGGGCAATTTGGGACTTCAGTGTTGGGGCCTTCTGCTGCCTGAGCATGTGTTATCCACCAACACCCACAGCATTTGGCTCAGCAGCAAGGTGTGCATTTATTTTGGGTATTACTCCCTTTGTGTGCTATTTTTACTTGTACACCTAAAAAAAAAAAAAAAAAAAAAAGAAACTTTTTTTTTTTAAAAAACCCCCTGTAAAAAATTTTAATTTTAACCCCAAAAAAAAAAAAAAAAAAAAAAGGACATTTTTTTATATGACAAGCCCCTAGTACAAAATCTTAATGTTTGAGCACTATTAATTCCTTTGTAGCTCCTGTATTAGCCCCAAAGCTATGACTTTAAATGTTAATCAAGACACTAAAACCTATGCAAGCATTTTTCCATAGGTGCAATTTCTCATTCAATATAACTTGATGTTAATATGGCATAAATAATAGCATATATTGCGGAAGCTATAACATCTGTTCTAATCTGTTTATCAAGAATTACTTGATGTATCATCCAGTATCAAAACATTGGTACATTATACCTTGTGTTTCCTTTTTTGATATAGTAGCCAAGTTTCCTCCAAAACTAATACAATTGTTCCGTGCAGCATGCCATGTCAATGTGTCATTTTCATTAAGGCCAAATACTTTGAAACACTGAAAAAAAGAAGTGTGCCAAATTGGTGACATTTTAATTTCCATTGAAAGCATCTCCGTTTCTGACAAACAAGATGAGATTAATATGTTAAGCAAAAAGGGAGATTAGCTGATTTAACAATTCGCTCTAGATTTTCTTTAGGAAAGATAAAATCTATACTAGAAAGCTAGCATAAATTCCAGTATTTTAGCATACCCTTATAAGAAAGAATATGTCAGTCTAATGACATGCCAGTCAATTCTCTCAGGCTGAGAGAATTGGGATTGTTCAGCCTGGAGAAAAGAAGGCTCCAAGGAGACCTAATAGTAGCCTTCCAGTACCTAAAGGGGGCCTACAGGAGAGATGGGGAAACATTCTGTAAGGGGTAATGGCTTTAAGCTGAAAGAGAGCAGATTTAGATTAGATATTAGGAAGAAATTTTTCTCTGTGAGGGTGGTGAGGCACTGGAACAGGTTGCCCAGAGAAGTTGTGGATGCCCCATCCCTGGAGGCATTCAAGACCAGGCTGCATGGGG